TTATATATCTTTATTTAAAGGTAAATAAACTACTACTCTTCGTATTAACGTTAGGTATTAACTCCGTTCTTTATTTTATTAAAGACTTATTTATATTTTTACTAAACCGTATTCCTAACTATAGCCTCGGAGGGCGCTAAATCTTATTTTAATTACTAAACGATCCGTTAAATACTAAATTTAACGCCTTTTTAAATTACTTTTTAAAATATATATTTATAAAGAGTAGCGATAATAAACTTTCTTAATTACTAAGCAAGGAGTTTAATATATATATTAATATTATTATATTTAAGAACTATAATTTAATAATACTTAGTAAAGAGCTCCTCTATTTTTTTAAATATTTTTAAGCGTATAGATCTTCTTTATAGGTATAATATAAGGATATATTTAGTTATATAAAGTTAATAATATAACTAGTTTTGTAAAAAGAACTCTAGCTAGATTTTATAAATTACTTATATTTAAAAATATTAAAGGGGTCGTATTAAGAGTTAAGGCTAGAAGTTATTAATAAAGGATCTTTTATTCTCGTTAATTGTTTTTAAACGCTTTATAACGAGTTTTATAAACTCGTCGCTTTTTTTTATTATAAATTAAAAATAATAGTTCGAAATTTAATAATAAAAAGAATATTATAAAAGGAGCGAGGAGTATATCGGAGTTTAGAGCGTTTAGATCGATATATTTTTAAACTTCGAGGCCCTCGTTTATAAAATAAAAAGTTTAGAACTATTTAATTTAATTATCGCGGCTAGTTAACTTAGCTTAATTAAAGGTTAATATAAAAATATCTATTATTTTAAAAAAACGGTAAAAATCGTATTAATAAATACGTTATTATGTTTTAAGGTTTTAATTAAGAGCTAAGCTTATAATTATTACGAGTTATAATATATAGTAATAGGTATACGGAGTATAGTAAAATAGTTTAATTTATTAAAATAGAAATAGATAAAAGAGAAAGGTCTATATATAGGATATAAGTGAGATATACGTAATATAGTACGTAATAGGCACTTTGTGGATTGCGGTCCCTATCCTTGTTACGTAACATTTTACGACTCCAGGATCAGATGTTACTGCTTTTCAGAGATACGAAAGGGACCATGAGGAATTGGTATAAACTATGGGACCTCGATTCTGGCCGTCCTGGAAGGGGCGACGAGATGCCATCCCCACTTTACTATGCATCCCTTGTTGGTGCAAGGTTCCTGGTAGAAAGGCTCTACAAGGACTGGGAAACGCCATGTAATCTCGAAGAATCAACAAACCAAAGCAGTCCTTCCAGAGAACAGGAAAGAGGCAGCCACGGTGAACCCATACAAGCAGCGGTAGCTTTGGGTCGTCGAGACGTGGTGGAATTCTTCCTTGACAAAGAAGTGGACCCAAACATGATGGTTTGGCAAACATATACAGCATACGGCACCCCTTTGATGACAGCTTCAGCTCATGGCCAGACAGAAATTATTGAGTTACTGCTCGAGCGTGGTGCAGAGGTCAATGCCATTTGGTCCATGCCACGCCTTCATCTCGGACGATGGCGTTTTAGTTGTAATGTTGGATTTCCAACTGCCTTAGTAGCGGCATCATTCTTGATTCAGAAAGAAGCCGTTGAATTGCTGCTGAAACACGGGGCAGTTGATGATGTTCACTCCGGCTTCTCCTTCTTTCACAAATCTGCTTTGAGGGCAACGATGGACCCAGAATGCAAACTTCTTGAAAAGAAGAAACGCGCCGCAACTATAAGCATCCTTCTCCAAGAATTTGACGGTGCCAAGGTCACTACAAGTCCTAAAATATTCGAGCTCTATATGGACGTAGCGGTGGAAACTGGTAATATAGATCTTGCCCTGAAGTACCTGGACAAATGGATCCTGTGCGGAAAACCTGGCTTTTCGCCAGGAGAAACACTTCAGTTAGCGTCAGTCGGGGGGCATCAAAGAATTGCTCATCAACTCCTTCAGTCGGGAGCTAGGGTGGCCGACTCAGGTCGAGTCCGTCAGACATCATCGCTCAGAGACGCGATAGGTCCGGCACTTGAAGAAGCATCAGGAAATGGACACCCTGAAACCGTCAAACTTCTCCTTAGCTATGGAACCGATTTGAGTTTTCCTCTACGTGGCGAGGACTTTAGATTTGCACTGTGGAGAGCAGTAGCTGAAGGACACGAGGAGATAGTGCGGCTGCTTCTTAATATAGGCGCCGACCCGAATTCTTCAGATGAGACTCAAATGCCAGCACTATACGCAGCAATTATTGTGGGTAGTGAGAAGATCGTTCAGCTTCTTCTGGACGCGGGGGCGGATATTCACGCTCGGTTCCGGGGGGAATGTTCGAATCTACCTTGTCTACAGCGTGCAATCGCGGCAATATCGGGATTGTGGAGATTTTGATGGCACGAGGCGCGTCTTTCCTAGCAAGGAATAGTGTGGCTACAAAAATACGGGCTGATACGATGGGCTTTGCGAATCGTCATTGGGATCTTTGGGACCAAATAGTCCTCGACGTCTCCAAGTACAGACCTCTGTATTCGCTCTCATTCGTAAAGGAAGGAAAGTCCAAGAGACTTAAAGCACTGCTTCGGCGAGAGATTGTTGGTATCGAACTGAAAGTCCTGGATCCTCTCTCCGCAGCGTCATTTGGAGGCCATGTTGACATTGTTCAGAGATGTCTCGGAATTTTGACTGAGGAAAATGCCGAGAACCGGGTTCCGAGACTACGAGCGGCACTCTCAGCGGCGGCAGCAGGCAACCACCTTGAAGTCGTCGAGTCAATCCTCGACTTCGATAGGAAAATACACTTGCGTGAACTCGATTGGAGGAGAGCGAGGTACTTGGCATCATTGATGGGAAACCAGGATGTGGTGCAGGTTTTAGTTGGGAGGTCCGAAAGCTTAATCTTAGACGAAGATTTGGGAATAGGGCTTCTCTTTGAACGAAAGAGAAATTCTTAGATTTTTCGGGAGCTATGGGAGCCGTTATGTGGGAGCCACGGGGCAGCTGTGGAGCTGCAGACTGCCTATGTGAAAAGAGAAAGGTAAGAGAGCCCACGTTTCTTATACATGGGCCGTTGGAAACGATACTGTTTTGCTCTCAATTTAGGGAAAGCAGCTGAGAAACGGCAACGATCAATGGATTAAGAATGTACCTTTGAAGCGCCGTCACTATAGCCCCTGATATCTACCCCTTTTTCTTGAAGACCGTCTCCTCCAATCTTCGCCCATCATCAAGAACCACAGCCTCAGCCCCAACCATGACAAACAAAACCCTCGTAAACCCATCCGAAGCATTGACCCACTCATGATTCACCCCTCCCTGAACAATAACCTCCCCCGCCCCCACAACCTTCTCCTCCCCACCATCCAGCCTTAGCACAATCTCCCCAGCCAGCACACACGCGTAGTCGACGCTGAGAGTCCGGTGCATAGGCGCCTTATACCGCGGCGGGAAATCCGTGAGACAAAAGTACGTACCCGCCGCTGGCGCGCGTGGGAGAGATGTTGATAGGGTTTGCGGAGGGGCGTTGGGTGCGTTGGAGGCTGGGAGGAATGGGGTTGTGTGGAAGGAGGTGAAGCTGCTTGCTTGGGGGCCGAAGGGGTGGAATGGCGGGAGGACGGCGTCGGAGGTGAAGACAGAGGTGCCGTCCTTGGTGTGGCCTGTTGTTATGAGGCGGGCTGGGGGGAGAGGGGTTGCTTGTGGTGAGGTGTTTGGGATTGTTTGGTCGGACATCTTGTTGTGAGTTTGGTGATGACTGATGGAAACGCTTGAGGATCTTCTTGAGTGAGGTTTGGATGTTGCGTGGGAGAAGCGAGTGGTGATGATGTACGGATGTCGTTGATTGCTATTCAGAGATCAGTCTTGGCGGGACGCCGACTTCTTATATCTCAGACTCAACCCATCACCAACCTCAGTAGACACCCACATAATCACTTACCCTCAATCTTCTTGCTCGCATTCATCGACATGCCCCGCTCATGAAATGCGACGCCATCGCGTTAGCGGCGGATAACGGCCCAGGAAACATAAGCGCTAGCAAATAAGGCAGGAAATCAAGCTTCGATCAACACCTGCAAAGGCATTGACCAAGCCAATTACAGCGGTCAAGCTAACTGCTTGTGGCATCTTGCCTTGAATACTCGTGCCATCGAAGGTAGCATTGACAGGAAGCGCGCGGCTTCTCGGGACGCGAGATTCAGCGCGAGAATCTTGAGCCTGGTCTTTGGTGTTGATCGTGGGGGTATTGCTTGGGTAAGCGACAACATGCTTACATATTGATGCTGGCGACTCATATAATCAAAATGTTGAATCGCGACTCGGCTTCGAACGGTGGCTTATCGCCGTTGCGGTGCTTGCATCAAAACAAGCCATGCATGGGGAGGGGGTTAAGATGAGAACTAGCGATGCAAGATCCAGATCTGAAGTAACGATGTCAGAAACGATAGTATTGTCCTGAAGAATGTCCTAATTGAGATATAGCTCTGCAGGCGTCTCAAAGAAGGGATTTTCAAGCTGTCCAGCTCTCAGGAGCACCCGTATGATTGGCAAAATGAGAGTACACCACAGCTGCGGACTTTCACCAATAGCATGGCAGACTTCTTTGCCGCCCCACGCAATCGCGCATGTGAACTGTTCGATCTGTGTGTATCTGCTTTGTAATATGCCATGTTGTTCTAGACATCTTGAACCTGAGCAGTCGAGGACATGCAGCGTCTCTAGATATCGCCGCAAAAGCGACCCGTGAAGATCTTTGATGACAGGCGCAAGTGTTCTAAGCTGTGCTACCACCGCACTGCGTACCTCCTGCCGGATATAAGCGCGTGCTTAGAACGACGAGATCATACGAAAGCAAGCAGAACAAATGCTGTCAAACGTTAAAGCTAGCAAGCCCATGAAAGGAAGCCCATGAAGAGTCGCTGTTCAGTAAGCCAAGCTTGCTTGTGCAACTCCAAGACGCCTCTCGGGAGTCTCGGCAGTGATGTACATCGGCCCTCGTTGTTTGCTATTGTCAAGCAGCCGATCTCAAGTCTCTAAAAAAAACCTCAAAAGGTTATTAAGTCAACGCCCATGGTTTGGCGTGATGCAACACCTGCTCACACGACACGCCTGTTCGCGAAGAACATAGCTAGGCCATGGAAATGAGAACGTAGGAGGCCATCATTGTCAACAGACCAGAGCCTGAACAACTATCATGAGTGAATAGAACACTCATTTCCTTTCTCTGAATGATAATCATCTCCAAAGAATGCTGTTCAGACAGCTGTAAACGATCACCGACCTCATACCTAAACCACAGTCACCACCTCTCGAACCGTCGACCATGATTCACTCCCTCAACACCGCCCTCCCCATCAACACTATAAAACAAAACATCTCCACCGCAAAACCAGCAAACCTTCTTCTTCTGCATCATCAAAACATCAAACACACTCAAGACACCAATCAATCAACCAAACCAAAACACTCAAACAACATACCAGCAAACCAATACAACTTCTCAAGCCAAACCATCTTCTGCAAAGAACCACACATCAAACCACAATAATCACTCAAACAACCAACACCATCAGTTAAATCGACGCAATGGCTCCCACTTGGCCCGTCACTCGCCCCAAGCCTCCTCACCCCCCTCCCGACCCGGCTCCTAAGCCCCTTCCCCCCAGCAAGTAATGGGCGAGCTAAGGAAGCATGCCTTGGTCGTGGAGCGGTGGAAGGATGGCCACAGATACACCTGAAGGATGAAGAAACTCTCTTCTTCTATTCACAGTCGCACTCAAACGGTGAAGATACTCTCAAGTAGCTAGTCACAGAGTACCTTAGTAAACAAAACCCAGTCCAAACAAGAACCTTACCCCTGATTCTTCAAATCCCAAAATATGTCTATGATGTTCCGTAAATTTGCAACTGCACCGATGACTGACTTGATATAAGCCTTCATTCTTAAGTGCGACGAGGGAAGCGGCGCATCGAAGTCGTTGAATCAACCTTACGAGGATACCTAAAATGGAAGGTAGTACCGGCCCCGGAAAAAGCGGGTCCGATGCGCACCGAGCCGGATTGTCGGCACAGCTGCCGGATCGGACAATTGCAAACTCAAACATCGGGATCGGGCGACGGTGGGCCAGCAGACACTGTCATTTTACCTAAAGTCTCTACGAGGTATGCCGATGCGTTGATACGAGAATCAATACGAGAGCCAATATAGTGCGAGCAGCACGCTGAATCACAAGCAAGGATGATCCAGAGCAGCGTCGCGAACGTGAACCGAGGATACCTGATGCTTTAGACATAGAGTTGGTGCCATGAATTGACACTTTCCATAGTTGCTTGACGGCGGCGGCCTCGGCGTGCCAACGGCTCAAGCCTAAAGCTTAGCGGGTCTCTCGGGAACATGTGTGAAAGTTTTGTCTTAGACTCGCCAACGGGCGACTCTGCAACCTTAAGTGCCGACGGCCAGGGCCTTGCCGGACGGAGAAACTTATCTTCGTGATGTTTCTTTGTGATAGACTCGTTGAAACCGAGAGCGACGCTAGTCGAAGGAAACAACTCCAAGTTGCTTTTTTTCCCTTCGACGTCGTGCCACCAAAACGGTGGTGCGGCTCAGCTTCCAGAGTGTGCCTCACCGTCGTGGTGCCCACCTCACCTGAAGCATTGGTGCGCGCAGTAGTGGTTTTTGGGTGGTAGAGCCTGTCAACCATAGCAGGGCCAATAAGCGCTGGGATGATGGCGTTTGGGTTGCATCCCGGAAGTGTAGCCCTACGGGCTTCCAGGCTGGCAGCGCTGGAGCCCAAATGACATATGCCCGCGCTAGGCCCAGAAGAGACTTGTGTCCAGCTTTGAACGAAACAACTCGCGAATAAAATGCCGGGGCTATTTCGCCAGTCACCGGCAAAGTTCGTGTTGCGGATTAGGCAGCTCCATAACAACGAGGACCAATGTTGAACCCACAGAGAGGCAACAAAGCCAAGATTGCGCACGGCGTACGAGATCCTGGGGAAAAACTGGATCCGCTACACCCTCAGGCTTCAGCGACAGAGCTGGCGGCGTTCACTCAGCTTGGAAAGGCTTGCGGGCCAGCGCAAAATGCGGCGTGTCCCTTTTGGCGGGCCAATCCTCGGCTTGTTGGGTTCCTTGGCTTGGGCCGGTGGGCGTACAGAGAGCACAAGGAACTTATGGAAGTGTGTCGACGCGGACTCAGACCGCATATAGCCGTATCAATAATGATACGAAGTGGGTTGGGCTTGAAGAGGCGGCACGCCTATGCGAAAGGAGAAGATGGTCGGCAATATTTGTGGCAGTAAGATTTGCAAGGACGGGCAGAAGGGACAGATCTTGCAACCTTCATAGAACACCGGACGAACGCCTCTTCGTAAACAGATATTGAGAGTTGGAAGCGAGGCGGGTCGGAGTTGTCTACAAAACGCGCCGTCAACGAGACCAAACATGCCATATCCACATGTTGGATCTGAAAGGGCAATGATGTGACGTGAACGAGGGCTCGGACTTCACCTCGGAAGTCCAACGGGGTACCGGCAATTGGTGGATCTGATGGAAGGAAAGATTGCAGGACGGGTAGGTCGGCTGGCAGGCTGATGTGAGAGGGAGAAAAAAGTCGTTCGGCGCCAGAAAGGCAAAAAGGCAGCCACGAACGGCAGCTTTGCCAGAAGGGAGATGGGCGATCGGCACGGCCGTGATGTGGGCGGGTTGGAAAACGGCGCGGGATTGTGGCTGTCAGCATATCAAGTCTAGCCGTAGGCTGTATGTACTATGTAGGCCGTCATGCTCCGTTGGAGCATATCTGTATTCTGTAAGATTCGGCCGAGCTTCGCAGGTGAAAACTGGGGGGGATTCGATCTATTGAAGTGTGCGTTATGCGTTGTCAGCGGAAGGGAGAGTGCGAGGAGTGCGAGGCCTAGGTAGACGGTAGAATGTCTCGTGTTGTTAACGGTCGTGACCCTGAGACATGCATATGCCTTGCCAACGTCGATGAGAGAAGCGAAAGAAGAGCGGTGGGTTGATTGAGGGGAATCGAGGCGACATGAGAACTACGGCAAGCAGCAGCAGACATTAGCCAGGGGATGGAGAGGCGATGGCATGATGTTGACGGGCCTCATCGGATTTGGTGCGTCGTGTGATTAATGCTGGATAATCGCTGGTGTTGTAAAGTTGGAGGAGGTGTCGCCCGGCAGGCAGAATCCACGCCCATGGCGCTGCCAGGACACGCCACACGTCTTGGGACGCCCCAGAAGGAAATCTGCAAGAAGCTTGCCGGAGTGGGAAATCCCGGGTAGGTAAATGGCGACAGCGAAAGAGAGCGCGAGGAGGACCTTGAAGTTCCTGCTTTCTTGCTCGAGCCAGCGCCCGACTCTCTAGCGGTGAGATTCCCCTGGCTGATGATGGGGGCGTACCTATGAGCGTAAAGCAAGGTACCTTCTAGGAGAATAATAATAAGCGTGAGATGTTGAGTGTGAGTTGGCTGTGGCGCACGGCAGGCGCTAAGCAACTCCTGTATTTCCAACCCGGGGAAAGAGGAGGAGGAGGAGGAGGAGGTGGTGGTGGTGGTGGAGGAGGAGCAGCGGAAAGTTGTGGAAGCCACACTTTACCTCTAAAAATTGTCCGTGGAAGGCGCATGCACAGTACGGATACCCCAATATGGAAACTGCCGTCACCTGACAAAGTGCGGGCAGCAACACAGTAAGATACAACAAGTGGGACTGTACATGCAGGCGCTGCAGGACCGCAGGGCAGGTAAGGTAAGCTCCTCCCTGGCTCCTTCATGTAAGATTTCCCCGACCGCAGCATCCCATGCCCTATCCCGCTGCCGCTTCCCCCGTCTCTCTTTCACCGTGCCACCCTCAACAACCCAATCCCGACCTCGTAGCACGGCTATCTGTCGACTTGGCTTACCTCTTTTC